CCGGCTGCCAGACAGCAACGAGGCGAAGCTGGCTCAGCACACGGCATGGCACTCCATGCAGCCCTGCTGGAGGCCCCACTGCTTCCGGGAAGGTGCCGCTCCATTTGCTCACAGCAATGCCGGCAGGCCTGGCCTGCTTGGCGTCATGCTGCCGTGTTGGGCGCAATGGGCTGGGTCTGGGTTGGGCTCCAGCCCTCGCCCGGCTGCCGCGCCAGCGTCCCTGATGTGCAGCGCTGGGCACCGCGGCTGGGTGCTCCAGCTGCGGGCTTTGCCCCTGGCTGCCTGCCCGCCCGATGCCCTTCGTTCCTGCTACTGCTACCTCGGGCATGTGTCATGCACCCTCCCGAACCTCCTGTGGTCCTTCCCCCTGCAGGCAAGGGCAAGCTGGCGGCTGTGGGCGAGGGCGAGGGCGATGAGCGGCCGTGCCTTGAGGTGCTGCTGGGACTGCCCGCCCGCGCCATCAGCCGGCGTAGCGAGGGGCACATGAACCAGTGCCTGGAGGTGCGCTGCCGCCGGCTGTTGAATTAGGACCGCCCTGCTGAGCTGGACCCTCGTGCAATGATATAGGGGTTCTGGTGTTCCCGCCACCCACCGTGGCTCTGTGCCTTAAAAAAGTGCCCTAAAAAGAGAAAGTGCCACGTGGGTGCCTTTGGCCTAGGACCCGTTGCCAGCCTCGCCACACACCACCTGCCTTTTTGCGGCCGTGCAGTTGCTGTCCTCCCTGCTGCGTCCATTTGAGGACGACGAGGTGGAGCGGCTGAAGCGGCAGCACAAGGAGCGGCAGGAGAAGGAGGAGAAGGAGAAGGCGGAGCGGCAGCGGCAGGAGGGGGCGGGCGCAATGCAGACAGACGTGCAGCCGGCAGCGTCTGGTGGAGGGTCTGGGGTGGAGGCCGCCGCCGTGGCTGCAGGCGGCGACCAGGCGTCGCCTGGCGGCAGCGGCACGCAGCAGCTGGCAGCGGCGGCAGCGGCGGCAGAGCCAACGACGCAGGGCGCGGCGGCAGTGTCGCCGACGCCCGCCTCACAGCCGGGGCCGCAGGAGGCAGCTGCGGCTGGCATGGCTGCCGCGGCAACTGCAGGTGCCGCCGCTTCTGCTCCTGCTGCTGCTTCACTGCAGCAGCCGGCTGAGGACAAGGCGGGGCCCAGCGCGGCGCCAGATGCAGCAGCGGCGGGTGCGGGGACGAGCGCGGCGGGAGCGGCGGCCGGTGACGCCGCAGGCCCGTCGGCGCAGGCGCCTGCCGAGGGCGAGGCTGCCGACAAGCAGGCGGCAGAGCAGCGGCGCGAGGAGGAGGAGCGGCTGCACTGGCTGTACAAGGCCGCCTTTGAGGCACTACCGCTGCCCCTGCTGTGCCAGCTGCCTCAGGTGCGCCGGCTGCCGCCGCTGCCTGCTGCCTACCGGTGCCACTTCCTGTGTGTTTGCTGGCGTGCCACCGGGGCTGTGCCGGACACACCCCTTGACCCTGCTCCTCTGCCCCCTCCTCGTCCAACCCCTGCAGCTGCTGGCTACAGACTGGCTGGCGGACCGCCCCGCGGCAGTGCTCAAAATGGTCATCCAGGCAAGCAGGAGGCGATGCGGGGTGGCTGGCTGCCATGCACGCGCGCATGCCTTGCTGCTGCTGGCCTGGCGCCTTTGCTCCTTCGCAGTCCTCTCTGGCCCTACTGAGAGAGCTGCCTGAGGTCTCTCCCACCAATCTCCCACCCTTCACCGCCACCCGTCCCCGCCCCCCCTGCACCGCCACCTCCCTCCCGCAGGGCCTCAACGTGGTGCGCCCCTCCTTCTTCGCGCCTGCCCTGGCTGAGCTGGCGGGCAGCCTGGTGCGGCTGTCGTCCCGCGCCGCGGCTGGGCTGGCGGCGCTGGCGGGCATGGACCCGCAGAGCGCCACCGTGCTGACCACCGGTACCGCGCGGTACGGCAAGCTCATGCTGGTGAGTGGTGGCTTGGTACGGTGCCATGCCACTGTGCAGTGCACCAGCATTGAGTGCCTTGGCCTGTGCAGGTGGAAGTTTGTGTGAGTGCGCCTGCTGGCGTGCCATGCTGACAGTCTGGCTGCGCCTGCTGCTCTCGCTGACTGGTCCATCCCCCTCTGCAGCGCCCCGCCAGCTGCCTGTGGGAGAACGTGGGGCAGATGGTGACCGAGCACCGCAAGCGAGCCCCTCCAGAGGTGAGGGGGTGGAGCAGCAGCAGTAGCAGCAGCAGCAGCCCTTGGCGGCTGTTCCTGGCACCTGACTGTGCATCACACGCACCAACCCCTCCCTTGGCCTTGCCCGGCCTCCCTGTATTGACCCCCTTCTCCCGCTCTCTCTCACACACACACACACTGGCAGGTTGTGGAGGAGTACCGGTGTGCGGCGGTGGCCGTGCTCGAGGACCTGGCCAGCCAGCTGGAGCCGCTCTGGCAGCAGCTCAGGTGGGTGCCTCCCTGACAGCTGCACGCCTCGTCCCTGCCGCGACTCCACGCCGCCTGCTGTCCCCTATTCACACGCGTCTGCTGCTACCAGATGCTTGCCTTCGGCTGAAAGGAGGTTTCCCTCTTTCTCCTGCTGCTCCTGCGCTTCTCCTGTCCTGCAGCCAAGTGGCCACCCGGCTGGAGCAGGCGCTTAAGGCCAGCAAGTCAGCGGAAGCAACAAAGGTGTGTGTGTGTGGTGTGGTGTGTGTGCGGTGGGGGGGGGGGGGGGGGGGGCA